GCCGTAAATACAATTTTCTAAATCAGATTCATCCTTCTTTCTAGATGATCCTAGATCTGCAATGTAAGATATCAAATCACCACTAATATATTGATTTTGCAATATGTTACCACTATGAAAATCTCCATGAACATAATATCCATGAACTTTTGCTAACTTTTCAGATATATCGACAAGCTGCTTTAATTTACTTTTCCAATTAAGATCTCTAAAATTTAAAGATAGGAAATTATGAAGACTTCCTCTATTTGCATATTGAAATACCATCAAGTATTCGTTATTCGTCGTGTCTTAAGTTAGTCCATACACTTCAAGATTACTGCCCATTAATCTAAATTCTATGTAATTTTTAAACTTATTAAATAAACAAAAATTTATAATGTTAATAGTTGATTTATATTAAGATTATAAATAAATAAGTTTAACGTACCTCTTTTAAAAAATTACTTTGTGAACCAGGTAAAGTTTTGAGGGCAACTACACATGATGGTGACGTGATTGTGTGCAGTAACTCTCATCTATATCTAAAACTATTCTTTTACCATCTAACCATGTTGCAGAAAATACAGAGCCAAATCTCCCTTTACCAATCATTTGAACATTAACTAATCTATTAAAAGGAATCCATTCGATTACATCGTCGTATTTTGTAGCTTTAAGTTGAAATTCTTTAATGCAATCGTCGATATCCTTATTTTCACTTGTCCATCCTTGTGTTGTTTTCTGTGAGTCACATGTCTGACACCAAGCTTCAGACGTGTTAAATCGTTTGCAAGTTGTACATTCTCCATTAGATTCTTTTCTTTCATTATAAAACTCATCAAATACTAACATATATTCGTTTGTGGATGTGTTTTGAGTTAGACCACATACTTTAAGATCACTATTCTTTAATTGTACATAATCTACAAACTTATTAACAGTTAAACATGTAAATGTTCAGTATAATTGTGTAACAATGATTAAATATTTTAACTTACTTCATTTAACGTATCTATTAAACTTTGTGTTCTAGTTAATGTTTTAAGCTCCACTTTATATGATGGTATACGTGATTGTGTATATTTATATCTATATTTAGCATAAGCGTCATATTTTACATATCGTACACCATCTAACCAGGTTGCTAAAACTCTATTACCAATAATTTGAATATCATCCAATCTATTAAAAGAAATCCATTCGCTTACTTCTTCATAAGATGTAGCTTTAAGTTGAAATTCTTTAGTGCAATCAACAACTTCCTTATTTCCACTTGTCCATCCCTGTGTTGACTTCTGAGGATCGCATATTTGACACCAACTACCAGATGTGTTTTATCGCTTGCAATTTGCGCATTTTCCATAATATTCTTTTCTTTTAAAACTAAATTTATCAAATTCACTAAATACTAACATATATTCATTTGTGATAGTGTTTTGAGTTAATCCACAAACATTTTTATTCCCAGATTGCACAAGTGTTTTAAGTTTGTAAAATATATAAAAGGTATAAGAAATATAATTAAAATTTAATTGAAATATATTTTTTTTTTTGTTTTTTTTTTTTTATCACTGGTGTTGATATCTAGGGGCATGTGTGGCGTTTTTTTATTAAAATCAAATTATTAAGAACATTGTATACATTTATATATATTTTTCATTTATTGGGAACAGTTTTTCAGATTGTAGTACAGAGTATGTATGTCTTTGTGAAGACGTTTGATTACTATTAGAAGTAGAATTCTGCTTGAGAGATTGCTGTCTTCCTATTTAAAAGAGGTGTAGGTGCATCATATTTCATAGATTATGTTTGTGTGCAGTCAAAGAGTGCTTGTTTGCTTTCATTATTTGTAATATTTGTTGCTATAAAAATTTCTTCTAAAGAGGTCAAAGGAGTCTCAGTTTAGTTAGTTTTTAGAAGGCTATAGGCCTGTTTTCAGATTTCTTTGCTAACTTTGCATTTGAGTATAAAGTGCTTAGCAGTTTGTAACTCATTGTTACACCAAGAGCAGTTTTCTGTAATAGAAAGGTTTATATGCTATAGCTAGCATTCTAGTGGTAAAGTTTTATGAAAAAGGAGTTATAAAATGTTTTTTTCTTGTTAGTTATTTTCTTGACTAGTATTCAATTAGGTTGTTAGCTAGGATTAAGTAGTTTAGATGTCAATCTTTTCTTAGAATTTCAATGATTTTCTTGACTAAAAGTTCTTCTCTGTTAAGTTTTTCTATTTCAATATCTTTAAGCTCTCAAGATCAGATCATTATTGCAGTAACTTTTTCTTTGGTTATTTTTAAGCTAAGAAGTATGATTTTTATTCTTTTGGTTAGGTTTTTGACCTAATAATGTCTATCTTTAATATCTAAATTATTAATATATTTCTTTTTTCAAGTAGGATTTCTGTGATTTTTTCTCTTTTATATTTAGCTATGTAAAGTTACTAGTAAGAAGTTTTTTCTATACTAAGATAGTTTAGCATCTAGCATATTTCCTACTATTAGGACTTGAAGGCTGTTTTGTTCAAGTGATTATTAGAATATAGAGTATTTGGGCAGCATTCTGGAATTGTTATTAATCTAAAGTGTCATAAGTCTGTTTATTTCTGCAATCTGTTTTTTACTTAGTGAAATTAGTGCCTTGATTAAAAGAATTTTTTTTCTAAAAGAAAGATTTTGGTTAGATGATTTTTTATCTTAGTAATTGTTATTGTTTATAAGTCTTTTTCAGAAATGCCTTTTGTGTTTATTTTATACTCAAGAATTGTTAGTGTTTTCTATTCTGTAGTTTTAGTAAATTGGGATTTATCATTAAGTTCAATCCTGCAAGTTGTGTTTGTAAAGGGCACTAATTTGGTTTTGTTCTTGTTAATTTTCATATTAGAGACAGTTTCATAAATTTCAAAAAGTTATATAATATTTATTTAGTTTAATAATAAGCTTATTCCTATTGTTAAGTTGTCTACATAAGCTGACAGTTTAAAGAACTGGTTTTTTAAAGAAATTTCTTGAATGTTTCTTTCTAGTTGTATGAATAGTAGTTCAAATGCAAGTACATATAGTAAGAAAGAGAGTTGATCTCCTTGTCATATTTTTCTTTTTATTCTAAAAGGTTTAAATAGAATATTGTTTTTCATAATGTATGTTATTTGGTTTGAAAAGAGATTGGCTACCAAGTTGGTCATTTTTTTGTCAAAGTTCATTTTTCTTAGAACCAGATTCAGAAAGTCATAGTTCACTCTGTTGAATTCCTTTTACTGATCTACTAAAAGTATCCAATATTGTTTAGAACTGTCTGATTGGTTTCTTAATATAGTAATTATATCCAAGGCTGTGTCTGTTATTGATCTTTCAGAAACAAATCCTTGTTGGTGATTGGGAATAATTTTCTTGCAAATTACATTAAGCCTGTTTGTTATAATTTTCATAAAGATTTTAGCATCACAATTTACTAATAAGATTGGGTACCAGGTATTTAAATCTTTTAAGTTTTCTAATTTTTTGAAAATTGTATGATTATGTTTTTGCACCATGAATTAGGTAAACAACCAATATCTAGTATTTGATTGAACATCTTTTCAAGAACTGGTACTATTTTTAATGATATGAGTTTGTAGAATTTGTAAGTTAGCTTATCAATACCAAGTGACTTGTTATTAGGAAGTTCTTGTATTGTTTGGGTTATTTCTTTTTGTAAAATTTTTTTAACTAAGTTGTCATTTTGATCTTATAGTATTTAAGGAAGACTTTTAATAATCTTTTTTGTTGCCTTAAGATCTATGTCTTCTTCTTTGTAGATTTTTGTATATTAGTTTTTAATATATATAAGTGTATCTTTATTTTTTGAACTTAAAGTTTTAGGTATTTCAATTCTAAACTGAGACTTTGTGACTTTCTTGCTTTATATCTTGAGAAGAAATATTTTGTTGACTTTTTTCTATTTTCAATCAATTTTGTCTTTGACCAAATTAATCATAACTTAACCATCTTGGTTAGTTCTTCTTGTATTTGAAGATTAAGTTCTTGTATGTTTTCATTAAGGTGTTCTTTCAAGAGGTCTGCTGTAAGCTCCTTATTTAGCTTTGCAATGTCTTTGTTTAGTCTTGTTATTTTGTTTTTAGGTGCTTTGGGTTTTTGAAAGCCTCTGATAATTGATTGTATATAGAATTTACATAAATTCTAATTTTTGCTAAGTCAGCATCTTGAATTTCCTCTAGTATCTCTTTTTTTAATAATTTGTTTTTAAAAGATTCTTTATTGAACTTCTAAACTGAGAGCTGTTTAGACTTTTATTTGAATTCTAGTATGTAGCTTACTATGAGATGGTCTAAATTACCAAAGTGTATACTAACTTTTAATATAAGATGTTTACAATTCTTAACTATAAAAATGTAGTCCAAATATGTAGCAATTGAGTAATTATTTTGTGTTTTCTGAAAAAAAGTTAGAAAGGATTTGATGTTTAACATCTTTGCTATATTAATAAATTCTTTTGTTAAATTAAAAAGTTAGGTCCTAGTCAAATTATATTAAGCTGTTGCTTAACTTATCCTGTTGTCTTTGAAATTAAGATTAACATTAAAGTCTCTTACTATAATGTTTATATTATTTTCTTTGATTTGAGGTTTCTAATCATTAAAAAAGATTATTCTGTTACTAACATTTGGTAATGCATAAACATTTGTTATTTTGAAGAAGTATTCTTTAAATACAAAGTCTGTTGTTATTATTCTTCCTTTATAGCTTATTTGAATGTTTTTAAATTTAATATCTTTGCTCTTTACTAGAATTGTTATTTTTTTAGTTCAGATTGAATTGTAATTTTATTATTGTTTGAGAAATTTTTGTATTTTTTCATTATTAAAGTTAGTTTTCTAAAGTATTATTATATCTAATTGTATAATTTTAAAAGAGTTAGTGAATTTTGTTATTTTTTTTTATCATTAAGTCCTTTTATATTTAGTGTTGCTATTTTTAGTTTGGCTTTTTGAGTTATAAATTATATAAGATTGTTGGATCATTTGAGTTAGGAGTAGCTTGCTTCTATATAAGTTTTCTTGTAAGAAGATAATCTTGATTCATCTTTCTTAGATGTTCTATTTTCTTTTTTGGTTTTCCTATTTATAACTATGATAAAGCCATCTGTTTCTTCATTTTTATCAGAAGAAGAAGCTGCTTTGGGGATGTGACTTGCAGATGGATGTGATGTTCTATAATTATAAATAACAAGTTCATTTCTTGGTAGTATTTCTGTATCTGGTAAGAGATCTTTTTGGATTATCATTTGTATTTGTTCATCTGAGCTGTTATTTGTTATAGCTAATTCTGCTAGAACTGGAAGCTGAAGGTTTTGCTGATGACTAGAATTAGGTTTTTTTAGGACTATATGTGTATTATCTTTATTTATATTATTTTGTTTTTACTACTTAGAGTTCATTGATAATAGAGGTTCTTTATTGCTTTTTTCAATATTTTCTAAAGTCTTATTTAACTTCTAAAAATCATTTAAGAGTCTTTTATTATATTTGTTTTCTTTGTATTGTTGGTAGCTAATTCATAGATTTACTGAGTTTTGAAATTGTTGATATTTTTTTTTAACATGGCCTTCTTTTTCACAAAAATAACATATCTTAGATGCTGATTTCTATTCTGTTGTGATCTTATTGTCTCACACATATGTGAAATAAGGTATTTTGTTTTTTAGATTAAAGTCATCTGAGTTTTTAAAGATTATAACCCATTGGCTTATAAGGTAAAGTGTTTCTTTAATCAGTAGAGGCTTGATTGATGTGATTCTGCCAACAAATTCAAAGGCTTCTTTTATAACATCTGATATTGCTTCTTTGTTACTCAGTAAAATATTTTTAATCTTTACTAGAAGAAATGATTTTCTTGAATCTGTAGAAATAAAGCTGAAATAGGTTTTGCCAAAATATTAATACCCTTAATAGCATGATATTTTAATTTGTCTTTGTTTTTAAATACAATTTCTAAATATGTATGCATTTCTTTCATAAAGTGTTGTTTTGATGCTATGATGTTCTCTTTGAGATTTTTAAATAATAAGGTTATAATTTTATTAAAAGAGCTATACATACCTTAAATATCTATCATTAGAGCATTTTTATTTTTTGATCTGATTTGGCTTTTGGGCATAAAGAAGGAGTAGGTAAACTGTTCTTTTCTTAATTTTGGAAAGAGACTAGACCACTGTTTAGTTGGTATCTTTTTTGGACCTTTTTGTCTATTACTGTCTTTTTGTAAATCATTATAGGGGTTAGTTTTATATGCTTCATTTACAAACTGATACTTTGTGAGTTTTCTGTTATGTCTAGCTTCTGTTCTATTGTATTTTCAATTTTCTTTAAGTTGTCTAATATTACTAGTTCCTTAGACATATTGTTTGTTGTTATGTTTATAGTATCTTTGAATGTATTATTCTTATTTACTTTTTGGTCTTAAATAGCTTTTGTTTTTTCTATTTCTAGTTTGACTTATTTGTCCCAGCTTGTTGGGTTTTTATTAGGGATTTCTTTTAGTACTTGCTTATCTTTTTGTTTATAATTAGTAGTCTCTTCTATGTTAGTTATCAAGTTTGGAAAGCTTGACATATTTTCTTTGTTTTTTTTTACTTTTTTTTTGCTGCTTGTTGATGTTATTTTTTTTGTTATTTTTATGGTTTTTGTGTATTAAAATTCTGTAAAGAACCTTTTTCTTGAAACAAGGGCAAGAACTCTTGTTTTAGTAAATACTTTAGTCAGTTTTGTCTTATTGTTTATTTTTATTTTTAAAAAAAGAAGTTACTCTACTCCAAAACTCATGTGTTTAGAAGAGAGTGTATGCAGTAATTAAAATATAATTAAATAAACTATACATAATAAATAATATTAAAAACCTAATATTGATAGCACTAATTCAATAAGTATACATTATTAGGTAGACAAAAAAAAAATTGTCTATTATTTGTCATATATATGTTCAATAATATGATGTTTTGTTAAAACTGAATATGTAATTTTTCATAACAAAAAAATTCACATCATATAAAATCAATATGTGCTGCCAAATATAGAGGCTAAGTTTAGTAAATAAATTTGAAAGTCTGAAATTTTAATTTCCCTTAGTTGCACATGTATATATGTATACTCTTATCTCTTTTAAACTATTTTTTAAATTTCATAATTGTGTTAATATTTTAAGCTTCACTTTATATGAAGGTATATATGATTGTATATATCTATTTAAATAGCTATTATTATAATTTATATATTATATTCCATCTAACCAGGTTACTAAAACTCCATTATTAATAATTTAAATATCATCTAATCTGTTAAAAGAAATCTATTCAATTACTTCTTCATAATAAGTAACTATAAGTTGAAATTCATTATTGCAATAATCAATATCTTTATTTCTACTTGTCTATTTCTGTTTTTGTTTTCTAAAGGTCGCATGTTTGGCACCAACCTGGTAACATGTTATATTAGTTGCAATTTGCATATATTTTATTTTCTTTATCTTTTTTATTATAAAATTCATTAAATATCAACATATACTTACACTAGTCGAAAACTAGAAATTCGACCAGATCGAATTACAATAACATTCGGCAAAAAATCAGCTAATTTTTTAAAATTCGACCAATAAAAATTCGGCCACACCAAATTCTACATTAATTCGACTTAATTTAACCAAAAATTCGGCACCCGAATTTTAACAAAATTCGACCATTCCGATTTTTACATTAATTCGACCTAAATTTAGGCAAAATTCGGAGTCCGAATTTTAATAAAATTCGACTATTTCGATTTTTACATTAATTCGACCTAAATTAGTCCTTTCCGATTTCTACATCAAA